TCTCAAAAATATTTCACTGCAATCCCCAGGGAATTTGATCTAAGGCACTGACACCCATCTTCCAGAGTGAACATAATTCCCCAATCATGATGCATGTAGCCAGAAGATAAGCAGTTTCTGCTCAAAGACAGCAAGAAGTATCTAATAAACTGACATTTCAAATCTTAACAATAGTCCTTTGCCATACATGAATCACTTATGACCACCATTATTGCTCTGAAATTTCTTCCATCTATTGCGAGACGTGGCTGTTCCTCCTGCCCTCGGTCTAACATGTAACATACAGGCAACTCTTTGTATCTGACTCACTAATTAACAAAATGTAACACATCTTCATGTACTTGTATCTTTCTTTCCTAGGTCCTTCTGTAAAACAGAAAATGAAATGTATGTCTGAAAATCAACATGATGAGGAAAGTGGAGACATTTCTGTAATGTTTGGCCACAAAGTCCTACATTTTCCAGTATTACTAAAGAAAATATAATTGATTCATCTTCAAGAAAGTATAACAATAATCATATTCAGCAAAGACTCACAACTAATATCTCATTTCATCTTCCCAATAGGCCTGAGACATGTTTATATGCTTGTTTTAGTCAGCTTTTTCGCTACTGTGACTAAAAGACCCAATCAGAACAACTATAGAGGAGGAAAAGTTTATTTAAGGAAGGGCTCATGGTTTTGGAGTTTTTTTTTCTTAGTCAACATAAAGCCAGCTCCATTCCCCAGGTACTCCAGGTAAGGCGGAACATCATGGTGGAAGAGTGTGGCAGAGGGAAGCAGCTCACATGAGGATCAGGAAGCGGAGAGACTCCACTCTCCTTATGTAAAATATACAGACTCCAGGGGGCTGGGGATGTGGCTCAAGCGGTAGCGCACTCATCTGGCATGCGTGCGACCCAGGTTCGATCCTCAGCACCACATACAAACAAAGATGTTGTGTCTGCCAAATACTAAAAAATAAATATTAAGAATTCTCTCTCTCTCTCCCTCTCACTCACTGTCTCTCACTCTCTCTTTAAAAAAAAAAAAAAATATATATATATATATATATATATATACACAGACTCCATAGGCACACCCCCAGTGAACCACTTCCTCCTGCCACACACCCTGCCTCCAGTCACTCATCAGTTAATCCCATCAGGTCAGGGTAAGGCTATGGCCCAATCATTTCTCTTCCAAACCTTCTTGCACATGAGCTTTTAGAAGATACTACATCTGAACCATAACATTTTGCCCCGGCCCCCAAAAAACTCACACTCATCTGACAAAGTGAAATACATTTAGTATGCTTTTCAAAGATATGTGGAGGTACACTTCAAAAAGACTGAATCCAATGTCATTCCTGACCTGAAGCTCTTAAACACAAGCTTTTCACTTTTCCTGCTGCCCCCAGTGCTGCTTCCCACTGCACACATAACTCCCTGACAACCTACCTTGAATCTGTTGCCACATGGTCTGTTCTGGGATCAAACCAAAACCAGTACTTAATTAGGTCTCACTTTTCTCCCCCTTCCCTTTAGCCTAGGTGCCTAGGTTTAATACAAGGARGGCACTACCTTTTAAACTTCAAGACAAAATGACAGCAAATGAAAATGGAGTATAAAAAAATCTGAATAAAAAATTAAAAGATAAGCATATTTAATATTTACAATGGGTATAACATTTCCTTTTCTTACATGAGAGAGGAATAATAGAGATTGCCCACTTCTTCAAGGCAAGCCTAGTTATAAATGTTGAATAATATTGCTGAAGCTAAGATTCCAACTGTGCAAACAAACTTGATATTTTTCCTTGTTAAAACAAACTTGGAAACAACCCAAATGTCTAGGAACTAATAAACAAATAAAGAAAACATATTCATACAATGGAATATTCAACAATAAAATGGAATGTAGTACTGAAACACAATATAACATGGATGACAATTGAAAACATTTATCTAAATGAAGGAAGACAGTTTCAAAAATCCATATATTGTATAATCCCATTTACATAAAAATAGAGAATAGGCAAACCTATAGACAGAAAATAGGTCAGTAGTTGCTTATAGCTTAGGGCAGGAAGTTTCAGGGGGACAATAGGTAATGACTGCTGATGGGTACGAGTTTCTTTATGTGATGATAAAAATTGTGGTGAAATGTGCTGTACATCTTTGTGAATAAACTAAAAACCATCAAATTGAACATTTAAATAGGCAAGTTGTGTAGTATGTGAACTATATCTCAATAAAAGTTGTTAAAAATTTGCCCTTTGTAGTTATTTTCACTGGGCCAAGGGAATGTGTATATGTGCATATACAGACATCTACATATGTGAAATAGAATGTAAGCTTAAATTTAAAAAAATAATAATGGTCTGATCACTGCTAACTTACAATATCTAGAACAGTRCTGGGTACACAATGCGTACTTATTGAGTGAGTACAATATTAGACCCTGCTTAAGACAGAGCAAAGAATAATCTACTAGTATCCCAATGCTCATTTTGAGTTGCTAACAAAATTGTCATCTCAAAATGTCTCATACAATAACTCAATTTGACCCTTACAGAGGGTAAACAGAGAAACTTTCTATAATATTACTCAGCATCCTGATCAGCAGAAAGGTAAACAATGAGAAAAAACAATTCTGTAATGAAGTGGTGGTAGGAATGGTATGTGACTGATAAACATAAGGGTACTTTTTACCTCTTTTCATGAGAGATGAGTTACAACAATCTGGTTTGGACTAAACCCATTTTAGCCAATTTCTGCTATAGTATGGATCATTTTTTGTTGTTATTTTTTAGTTGTAGATGACTTTATTTTATTCATTTAATTTTTTATGTGGTGCTGAGGATCAAACCCAGTGCCTCACATGTGGTAGGCAAGCCACAATCCCGGCTCTATAGTTTGGATCTTGAATGTACCCTAAAGGTCTATGTGATAGAGGCTTGGTCCCCAGGGTGGTACCATCATGAGGTTGTGGAAGCTTTAGGAGGTAGAGCCTAGTAATAAGACCATAAGTCACAGAGGGTGTGCCGTCAAAGGTGACTGTGGGGCCCCAGTTTGCTCTCCCTTCCTCTTCTTACTTTCTGGTCATAAGTGAGTAGTTCTCCCCCACCATGCACTCCCGCAGCGATGTACTGCCTTACCAAAGGCCCAAAGCAGTGGGACCTACTAATCATGTACTGGAATCCCTAAAACCTGAGTCAAATATACCTTTCTCTTTATAAGTTGGTTATCTCAAATATTTGGTACAGTAACAGAAAGCTGACTAATACACTGACCCAAGAAGGTTTATTCCACATTCCCTTCAGTCATATTTCCTTTACCTTTGAAACTAAGTCAAAAGACTATCTACTACTGGCTCTTCTAGTTCCTGAGCCATAGTGTGGCTAAAAGCAATGGCATGGCATCTTTCTTTTAAATCATCTTCTCACCGTTTAGTGTGGTCATTAAGTCTTTCTGAGACCAAGACTCCAAACTCATCTTATTTGCTATATATTTGTTTATCTCATCACCAGATAAACAGATATTTGATGGCCGTATTTTCCCTTTAGTTTATTTCATTACCACGCCTACGTCCTGATTCACTCTGGCTTTCTAAAACATTCAAGCAACCAGTAACTAAGATTAAAAACCAGCTGTTTACACCCTGCCTCTGATTTTTCCTTATTTTTATTTTGTATTCACAAGAGATTTATTTTTAAAAACAAATACTACACACTGAACTTGCAGGAATGCCCAATTCTAGTATATAACAATTCAGGCTAACCCTCAAATAACTAAAAAAATGTAGTTTTTGGCCTTGAAAACCTTTGGGATGAGGTGGGAATACTTTCCTTTCCCAACACTTGTTTCTGAATAATATGAAGATGTTCCCCAGAAACAGTAAGAAAGCAGAGGGTCTTCAAGTAAGACTTTTTTTTTTTTAATCTCATGATTCAGACTGATGAAATCTGTCACCCAAGTGCATGTTAGTAATTTTAAGTGAATATCAAAGATTAAATAATTTCCAAGAGACATTCATATTCACATGCTGCTTATAACATTTTAAATTGATATAATTCAGAAGGCAATGACCACWCCTACTTCGGTCAAAATTATGACAAAGGTAAGAATGTAAGTAATTCAGTAAGAAACAAAAGARCTTTACCATACCATCAGGTACATAAGAACAACACTGGGGAAAATGTACAGCTTTACAGAAATGGAAGGAACTAATCAATTACAGTACAGAAACACAACATAATACTGCACCCATTAAAAACAACAGTTACAAATATGAGGTAGAAACATGAGTAAAATTTATGATGTATAGGTTGATCATCCCTTATTCAAAATGTTGGGACCAGAAGTGTTTCAGATTTCAAAGCTTTCCAGATATTTTAATATTTGCATGGTTTTTACAGGTGAGCATCCTTGACCCCAAATCTAAAATGTTTCAAATGTGCCATGATGCTCAACAAGTTTCAGGTTTTGGAGCATTTCAGATTTCAAATTTAGGATGTTCCACTTATAAAGTAAGACACCAGCATATAAAATGTGTATGTACCTGTGTATAAAATGAATTAATCCTATGTCATCTTTTTACAACACACAATTTTTAAAATATTTTCTCAAAAGGGCTTGCCATTGAAGCTCTAATTTTTAGAGATTCCCCCAATATATTTGGCTGAATTTTTCTTTTATTTTACTTTACTATTTATCATCTTCCTGATCATCTCCTTTACTCATTGTCTCAACTTTCTGCTTATCATGCTTCTTGTCAAACTCTAGGAAGTCCTACATAAAGCCTACAGAGTGGGAAATAAAGTCACCAATGGTCACTGTAGTATCCTTTTATTCCAGCTTGCTATCACTATGAAGACAACATGGAAGTAAAAAACAGGAAATGCAAGAAACCTCAAAAACCACATCATACCACAAAACTATCTTCTAATTATTTCTAGCAACATGTTCAGGGGAAATAGAAACTTAAAGATTCTTTATCAACTACCACTTGCTCCTTACCTATTGCATGAACCTGATTCCGATGAATAAAGAGCTGATTCCTGAATATCGGTACAACTAGAAGAATCATCTTGTCTATCAGGCTTCATCTTTTCTGGGGAGCATAGATTTGATGGAGGAAAGTGATTTCTTACTGAGGTTGTATCTGAGAATTTCATTTTATCATCTTCCTGTCCTAAAAGGAAAAAAAGAAATGTAAAAAGGATAAAATAAAAATTAAAGAGTATCTTAAAATTTACAACTTTTGTATGCCTATTATTTCTGTAACACACAATATTGTTATTTGTATTRAGTAAAATCTAAGTATATATTACATTGATCCCAAAACTCCAGTGAGAGCCAAAGAATCAATAATACCACAATGGTGCTTTGTTTTTCCACAATTAATTAATTTAAAAATAAAGTTTCCTTTAAAACCAGAAATGGAACAAATTCAAAATTCTTTTTTATTATTTTTTAGTTGTAGACCAACAAAATACCTTTTTTATTTATTTTTATGTGATGCTAAGAATCAAACCCAGTGCTTCACATATGATAGGTGAGCGCTCTATCACTGAGCTATAACCTGAGCCCAAGTTTATAATTCTAATAAATCCCCTATTTACATATCACTAAATTCCTAAGCATTTTATAGATGGAGAACACTGTCACTCTAGCAAAAAAATGACTAAAGATTCAACGAATAAAGAGAACTACAATATTTGTCACTGGCTATGAGAGTTAATCTGAATTGTCAACTTGAGTGGATAAAGAGATGCCTAAGATTAAGAGGTTTCTGGGTGTGTCATGAGGGTGTTTCTAAGAATGACCAGTATGTGGGACAACAAACTGACCAGGAGACCCACCCTAAATGTGGGCAGCACAGTCCCATAGGTTGGGAGACTGGATAGAATGAAAAGGAGGACGAATGAAGAAGACAAAACAGATGTAAGCTCAGTTCTTTCTTGAGCAGGGTACCTCAACTGCTGTAGCTGTATCTCCTGAAGACATCAAACTTTTGCTCTGCTTCACTCTTASAAAACAGAATCTGACTAGCAACTGTCCTGGAAGTTACTAGGCCTTTAGTTCTGAACTGGGGTTGCATCACTGGAGTCTCCTCTTGTTCTAAGGCTCCAGCTTCTTGGGCTGAGCAGTTACTGGTTCTTCCAGCTCTCAGTCTGCAGATAGCCATTGTGGGAATATCCAGCTTCTGGTCATATAAACCAATCTGACAAATCCCCCTTTATAACCACATATATAGGATCATATTATTTATATGCTTATTATTTAAAATCATTTGTATATGATTACATATAGAGGAAAAGAACCAATGAGATATATATGTGTATCAGACAGGTAACATTAGGAACTAATACCCTAATACACTATTACATAATAATGAATTTACATGGACCCTAAACCTACTAAATAGAATGAATTCATTATGGGAAAGGAAAACTAATCAGACATAATGAATATTTCCATTTCATAATACAAGTCACATTTCTATACAACCTTTATCATAGTCTTAGTTCTCAGAGTTTCTCATTGCAGATATAGGAAAAGGGAAGACTCAAAGTGTACACAGAATGAGACACACAAGTATAGCCAAATGTCTGCAAATAAGAGTGCAAGACATTATCTATGATTCTTTTTCTCATGTGACTAAGCACATTAAAAAGAACAGGCCAGGCTTTTTAGCCAGAGATATTGCATGGGAAAAGAATAAGCCAAATTCTTCAAAAAGGAGGACAAAAAGATTTTTTCACAAATGATTCTCTCACATTGGAAGAAGAGCATGCATCATAGGGGTATTAGCTCCTAATACTGTCTATCAGTAAGCCATCATTACCAAAACAAAGCTGTATCCTCTAATGTTTATCAAAAGAAAAAACTGAGCTAATAAGATGACCATCCAGAATCTCTAGGATCTCCTCTTGTAAACACATTATAAGGGGAACCCATCACCCTGGAAACTTGATGCACCCAGGCAATTATATCACTCAACTGGCTCAGAGAATGCAATCAAGCTGGCAAGCCAGGGAAAAGGAATTCATCTTTAAACAACCTTTTATTTTTAAAAGTTTTAGTCTCTTACTTCTTTCCCTCTTAAACAATAACATAAATAAATTCTCTGTTAGGGACAAACAGCACTCAACAATATGAGCTGACCTTAGATGCTGTCTGCCCTTAGATCTAAGAACTCAGGACTTCAAGGAGAGCCCCAACTATGAGGTTAGGACATCAGACCACCCCCAAAGACATGCAATAAAAAAGATTAGGTTTTCCCTTGAGAGAACATGAACCTTATTCACTTACATGGGCACTTCAAAGTTTACTCTAAAGAGCAATAGTTACACTGGTTATATGTTGCCATATAAAAACCACCTCTTCAACCAATCTGTGTCTTCCTCTCTCAGACATCCCCATTATGAATAACAACCTAACAGCAACAGTCACCCAGAGACAGAAATACTTTTGTGTATATACACACATTCTATATAACCCCCCAAGCACAAGTAACCAACTATATTCAATAAAGATTTGATTAGTAAAAAAAAATATTTTTCTTCTGGTGGGAAATATCAAGCCAGAATTTCTTAAGCAATGATAATTTATAAAACTATCCTTTAACAACTGCATGAACAAATTCAAGTTGTTCAAAGGCCATGAGCTACATGCTGAGGCAGCAACCTACCAAAGGAAGCGTGAGTAATGGAGACAACAAGGAATGTGTAAATACCCAAAAGAATAAAATACTTAGGAGTAAATCAGCCACGAAGGTAAAAGACTTGTATACTGAAAGCTATAAAACTGCTAAAAGAAATTAAAGAGATAATTAAATGGAAAAAGCATCCTGTGTTTGTGAATTGGAAGATCTAATATTGTTAAGATATCAGTACTACCCAAGGCTACCTACAAATTCAATGTAATCCAATATCAAAATACCAATGTTTTATAGAGGCAATCAGTGTTTTTTTTTTTTAAACATCCTAAAACTCAAGGAACCTCAAAGGACCCCAAATCGCCAAAACTGAAAAAGAAGAATAAAGTTAAAGGACTCACACTTCCAACTTTGAAACTGACTATAGAAGCTATAGTAATTAAAACAGTAATACAAGCATAAGGACAGATATAAAGATCCATGGAATAAAATAGGGAATATACAAAATAAACCTTCACAGGGTCAGTTGATTTTGGACAGGATTAACCAAGAGCAATCAATGAAGAAGAATCTTCAATGAATAGGGCTGAGAATAAAACGTATCTCCTAGGTAAACATATCTACACACAAAAGAATCAAGTTGAGGGCTCGAGATATAGCTCAGATGGTACAGTGCTTGCCATGCATGCACAAGGCCCTAGGTTCAATCCCCAGGGCCATTAAAAAAAAAAAAAAAGAATCAAGTTGGACCCTTACCTTATACAATAATACAATATATAAAAATTAACTCAACATGGATCAAAGACCTAACCATAAGAGCTAAAGCTACAAAATTGTTGGAAGAAAATATAAAGGAAAAATCTATAAGACACAGGATTTGGCTATGACTTCATAGATATAACATCAAAAACAGGCAATTAAAAAACAAACTGATCTTCATAAAAACGAAGCATTTTTGTGGTGAAAACGCTATCAAGAAAGCAAAAAGATAACAAAAGAACATTTGGAAATATTTACCAATCATATATATGATAGGGGATTAACAGAATACATAAAGATCCCCATAAAATCAACAAACAACCCAATTTTAAAATAGGCAAAGAACTTGAATATGCTCCAAAGAAGAAAGACAAATTGCAAATCAAAACCCACAATGGCAGTCAGGCACAGTGGTGCTTTCCTATAATCCCAGGTACTCAGAGGCTGAGGCAGGAGGATTATAAGTTCAATGCCAGCCTCGGCAACTTAGCAAGGCCATGTCTCAAAATAAAAAATAAGAAGGAGTGAGGATATAATTCAGAAGAAGAACCCTTGGTTCAATCTAGAATTCCAAAACCAAAAGCAAATACAAGTGAAAAACCACCACCAACAACAATAAAATCATAATGACATACCTTTTCACACCTACTAAGATGGACTCAGAAAAAAAAGGAGGGGAAATAATAAGTGCTGACACAGATGTGGAGAAACCTCATACATTGCTGGTAGGCAATATAAAATGATACAGCTATTGTGGAAAAGAGTTTGGTGGTTCTTGAAAGGTTAAACATGATACTACTATATGAACCAGTAATTCCTCTCCTAGGTAAATATCCTAAAGAATTAGAAGCAGGGACTTGAACTGATATTTGAAAATCTATGTTCATAACAACATTGTTCACTATAACCAAAAGGCTAAAATAGCCTATTAAGGGTTAAATGGATAAATAAGATGTGTCATATACATACTATGGAATATTATTCAATCATAAAAAGGAATGAGAGGGCTTGGGCTGTAGCTCTCTTGTAGAGCACTTGCCTCACAGGCAAGAAGCTCTGGGTTTCATTCTCAGCACACAAAAAAGGGGGAAAATGGCATAAAATTTTAACATGTGCTACATTAATGGACACTGAAAAAAATTCTTAGAGAAATAAATCACACAGAAGAACAAATACTATACAATTTCATTTACATGAGGTACCCAGAATAGCCAAATCCATACAAAGAGTAGAATAAAGACAATTAGGGATGTGAGGGAGAGGAAAAGGAAGAGTTATTAAATAATGAGTATAGGCCAGGTATAGTGACACACGCCTATAATTTCAGCAACTTGGGAGCCTGAGGCAGGAGGTTTGCAAGTTCAAGGCCAGCCTTGGCAACTCAGGTAGAACATCAACAACTTAGCAAGATCCTGCCCCAAAATGAAAAGTAAAAACGACTGGAAATGTAGTTCAGCAGTAAAAGCACACATTGGTTCAATTCCTAGTACCAAAAAGAAAAAAAGAAAAAAGAAAAAAAAAAGTACAAAATAGTGATTACAGTTTGGATTGGCAGCTACAGAAAGGTTCTGGGTATAGTTAGTGGTAACATTTACACAGTACTATGAAGGTATTCAATGCCAATGAACTAAATACTTGTAAATGGATAAAAAGATACATATTGTGTTATGTGTATTTTTCCACAATAAAGAAAAAATAAAGAATTTTCTTGTGCACCTTTTCCCATTATGATTCTGTTTTGTTTGCTGGCCCAAAGCCCTGGCAACAGAAATATAACATTAATCTCAAATTCTAAAATAGATCAAAATTAATGCGTTATATGCATTGCCATACCAAGTGCATTAGCTTTAGACTGTTTAGCAGACCATCACATCCAAGGTAAATGCCAGTGTTCTATAACAAAAATGATTTATTCTCTTTGTAGGATAGCTTCACTCTCAGCAATAAATCCTAAACCTAGAAAATTTCCTCAAGCTTAAACAATTAAGGAACTTGTGATTTTCCCACTAACTGAAAGGAAGCCAAGGCTTAGCAATTGTTTCTTCAGGACATTCTTCCAATTGTTTTTCCCAGAATAATAATAAACATAGTTTATATTCCACAACTGCTATATGAATTTATCTAAAAAATACTTTTTCCCATTTCAAATGCCTAATAACCCCAAAGTAAATTCCTTTGGTTTTCTTTTTATAATAGAAATAAATAATGAAATTAACCATACTTCTTTTTTTAATGTCTCTTACCCATATGCATGCATAACAGCTTTTCTGTAGATTCATCTTTTTTCATTACTTTGTTTTTTGGCATTCCGTCAGTTTTCTTGTATCCTTTTTTTGCCTGATCCACCAGAAGCCGAAATTCATTATGATGCGTTTTACCTGAAATTCAAAAGACCTTCTAGGTAAAGTAGGCGAACCCATTTACTCATGAACATCATCCTTGCACCAAAGGTAAAAGCTGTCTGCTAAGCACAAAAGCACAAAGGGCAAGGGGGTCATGGAAGTTTCCTTATCTTCTCCCAGCCTCAAACACAAATATGGAACCATGCTATTCCTAGTTTGCTACTCTAGATTTCTTCCCAAATCCCAAACTCCGGAGAGGGGCTTTTTTTCCCGCTCATAGCACAATACTAAGGTGTAGAGAATCTACTGCATGTAGGGAAAAAATTGCATTTCAGTTGAAAACTGCCTTGTCTAGAGCTACCCTTACAGGATTCCAGTCATTTGGTGCCTTTGAATTGTGGTCTGCTAGTTGTAGATAAGTGATAGCAAAATAATAATAATAATAATAGGCTATAGATATACAAAATCCCCTCTGGTGGAGATTTCATTAAATTCCCTACATCACAATAGAAGAAATCAGTTTTGCCTCCATTTGTACATTCATTTTAATATTACTAACCTATAAACATGACTTTCTTTGGATTCTCCTTTGAATATCTTATTAACATCTTTTTGGTAACCTCTCTAATGAGGCTTTCAAATCTCTAATAAAAATATTAATTATGTATCCATAGGGATGATTTMATTTAGTTTTGAAAATTATCCTTTTTTAAAATATTTATTTTTTAGTTACAGGTGGACACAATGTCTTTATTTTACTTTATATGGTGCTGAGGATCGAACCTAGTGCCTCACGCATGCTAGGCGAACGCTTTACCTCTGAGCCACAACCCCAGTCCAGAAAATTATCCTTTAATATGAAAAAAGAACACTAAAATATGATGCACAACTAAGAAGAAAAGAAGTTGGACTCCTATATGTGGATACTAGTAGGCATATCGAAGACATTTAGGAGAGACTACTACAAATTCCAACATATTTATGTTTATGTGCATTAAAACTCCCAGTGAAACTAATGAGTGGGGTTAGAAACTGGTAAATTTAAATAAAAAGATAGTTAAAAGTTCAGCAAAAGAAATTATAAGCTGGCCATAAAGATGATTGGAAAAATTCAGCTCTTCAGAAACATTCTTCTATGTAGAATCTCTACATAGATGGATACAAGCTAGGTGGTTTCTATTTAACTCCATGCATTTGAGGATAATTATCATATCCTTCTTCAGTTCTCCAGAATTAATGGGCCAATATCGTTAGGTTGTGTTAGGCCAGGGTAACACATCACTATGGGATCAATGCAGTTTATTTATATTTAGCTCATGTCCAGGCCATTTTCCTAGATTTTATACTATTTCTAGGCCACTAGAAAATAAAGAATTGTGGGCTTAAGATCTACTAGAGAAACTTGCTAAATACTTGCATTAACAGTTAAGGAGGCTTAATGACTTTATATTTTGAAATAATAAAATCTCAGATTTAAAAAATTTTCCTTTTCTTATTGAAATCTAATTATCCCATAGCTAGGCTGGAAAACAAAACCAAATGGCAGCCACTTCTCTGGCTTTGGCCCAAGAAGTCTAATAATGCTGCTTAGAAAATGAATGATGCCAACAGATTATGACTAATAAAATTGTTCCCACTCATCTCTTCACCTCATCTTTGGAGATCTGCCATTTGGCCAGGAGTACTCTACAGCATAAAACCTCAATTCTGCTGGTTATCTGTCCTGAATTTACCTCTTGAAAGTTTTAAGTGGCTCAGCTAGTTGTGGGATCTGCTAAGTTCATATTCAGTCAAACCAAACTCATTAAATTCTCCAGAACTACTGTTTCATAGTCTCCTCTTTATTCAAACCTCTAATGCTGCTCCTCTATGGCCCACTCTTAGTTGGTCTCACACTACTCTGAAAACTATGGATTCATTCTAACAGAATTCTGTCTCCTTCCAATCACCATTACATCCAGTCTATTCACACATGATCTCTCTTATTCCTTATTACCATGAAATGACTGTCCTTGCTATATCTAAAGGCTGACTCCAAACTTACACTGTGGATTCCATCATGAAGTCCTCTCAAACACAAGCTACATTTGAAATTGRGTGTGTGGGCTATGAAAACAACTTAGTAAGTTCAGACTGCTATTTGATTTTTCCCTTAATGAAACAATAAAGGGCAGAATAGAAAGTCTCAGAGTGCATTAAAAATGGAAAAGGTAAAAGCATTTTGAGAAACTTTTGTTTCAATGTGTGTGTACACAGTAATGATATAAAATATATTTATTGCTATGGGCTACCCTCAAAAAGTCTGAGTTGCTGAGTTAAGTATCTCCCAATTTAAACAACAAACTCAAGAAATTAATTAAAAGCCCTCCCCTGTCCCAATACCCATCTCCAGCTACGGCCTCACTCTGACAGAGAAACCTTGCCTAAGAACTGTCCACTTTCATATTCTCACTGCTTCATTTCCAATTTGATCTCAATGAATTCTAAGTGCTTCTGATGCCTCCTCTCAATCAAACAGCTCCTCTCAGTGAAACCGTCCTAGAGGAAGCTACTCTTGTCAGGGTTTGTTGCCTCCAAGCTATGAAAATCAATGGTTYCATGTATGGCCTCTTACAGAACTTTTCATAGCAACATGTGGAATAAGTCATGATTTCTTCTTAAACACTCTTTTCCTGGATTTTCTGATACCATGTTTCCAAGCTTTCCTCCTTTCTCTCTGCAGCTTTCTGAGCAGGCTCCTCTTCCTCCTACGTGCTAAAGCAGATTTCAAGGTACAGTGCAGCAAAGGATCCCTGAGTCTCTTTCACAGGGGAGATGAGGTAATGTAATAACGCATGTCATTATATTATTATGACAATACCTATGTAGGACATGCATGCATTATTACATTTATATTACAATAGCAATGGTGAATAAAATTTCTGATGTGTTAGCATGTACCACTCACCATTTAAACTACCAAAAAAAGTCATTTTCACTTAACAATATCTTTAACAGGCTGGGGTTTAGCTCAGTGATAGAGGGTGTGCTCAGCATGCCTGGGACACTGGGTACAGTCCTCCACACACAGAGAAAAGGGATATTTTTGATGAAGCAGTCTATTAAATATGGGTTCCTGGGTATATACCTATGATGAAATGTGAACTACAAATAAAGCCCTTCTGAGWCATACCAAAGTATGTTGGGTACCTATTTGATTTGTGATTTGTGAGCTAGTCGCTTATTTTATGGCATACCATTTTTAATGGAAACTTATATCTCTTAATTTAAAAAAAAAAACTTAAAAAAAAAACCCTTCCAGGCATAATAGTTGGCACCTTATCACTTTCAGTGAGACCACCAGTACAATGGTGAATAAAAGTGGTGAGAATCAACATCTATACTTTGTTCTCAATTGGAAACATTCAATATTCACCGTTAGATATGTTAGTTGTAGGGGTTTTGGGTTTTTTTTTTTTTTTCCATACATACCCTTTGTCAAATTGAAGAAATTCTAGCTTACTGAGAGCTCTGACCATGAGTGGAGGTTCAATTTTATCAAATGCTTATCTGCATCTATGTAGAAGATTACAAGATGACACTAAAGCTATAAAGAGTTTTGTTCTGGACCACACAAGCTATATAATCTATTGAAGCATCCCAAGGCTTATTTTCACGTTTCATTAGGGCAAAATATCAAGAGAATGAGAAGAAAAGCTATAGACTGGGAGAAAATATTTGCAAAAGACAAATTTGATAAAAAGGCAATTAACAGAGAACTCTTCAAACACAACAATAAGAAAATGAAAACCCCAATTTCAAAAAAAGGGAAAATGATCCAGACACTTCACCAAAGAAGATATATAGATGGTAAACAAATATATTACAAGATGCCCAATATCACATTAAATTAGGGAATTGCAAATTAAAGCAACAATGATACACCACTACATAACTACAAGAATGGCAAACATATGAAGCACTGACTCTACCAAATGTGGTGAGGATACATAACAATAGAACTCTTATTCACTGCTGGTGGGAGTGCAAAATAGTACAACCACATCGGAAGACAATTTGGCATTTTTTTATAAAATTAAGGATACCATCCTATCCCACAAGCAAGTTCCCCAATATTAATTTAAATGAGTTGAAGATATATGTTCACACAAAAAAATGCACACAACCATTTATAAGCAGCTTTAGTCATACTTGACAAAACTTGGAAGCCATCAAGATGTTCTTCAGTAGGTAAATGGTTTAACTATGGATACATCCAGAATGGAATATTATTCAGTGCTAAAAAGAAATGAGCCATCCCAGGGTGTGACTCAGTAGTAAAGTAAAGGACTAGCCTAGCATATGAGACCCTGTGTTCCATCCCTAACATGGCAAGAACAACAAAAAAGAGCTATAATAAGCCATGAAAAGACATGGAAGTGAGGTAGGAGTTTTGGGATGTCAAGATAGCAGAGGTAGGGTACATAGAAAATGCTGGCCAGACAACAATATAAGGACATGTTATCAGGTCCCTGTTTACAAGAAGTCCCATTACCATGGCAACTCCTGCTAGGGAGAGCTTATCACCACACTGTTACCACAAGTTCTATACAGTCCCATTACCATGGCAACTCCTGCTAGGGAGAGCTTATCACCACACTGTTACCACAAGTTCTATACAGTCCCATTACCATGGCAACTCTCACTACAAGTTCTGTATTCTAATTAGGCAAAAATAAAGTAACCATTGGGAACAAATAGGGCAAGGACTTCAATCAGGTCCATGGGGAGGTGAATGAGGCACAGCTCAGCATATAAAACAAGTCTCGCCCACACACGGGGGCCTTAAGCCTCCCTCGCTGGGCTACTCTGCTCTTCTTTACAGAGTATACTTTCACTTTCAGTAACTCTATGCTCTGCCTGTTACTTCTGCATTTCTTGCGGAATTCTTTGTTCAGGACACCAAGAACCTGGCCCCCACTGAATCCTCCACTGGTAACAAAAGGATCTCAAATGTATATTATTTAAAGAAAGAAGCCAATTCAAAAAGGCTTTAT